ACTTCACCGGCAGGTGGCTGTGCATTGCGACGCGGACGCGGGGCCTTTGGCAGTTGCTTATGGTCATTGCTCGATCCCGGCATGTGCAGGCGCTCATTGCGCTTTTCACTCTGTGGGCTGCTTTTGGCTTTGCTGGAAGCGCCTCTGAGTTTGGCCTGGCTTTGCATGCGAGCCTCCCGGGCTGCTTCAGTGATCCACGCTTCGGCATCGAAGCTTTCTTCAGCGCTGCTGCAACCTGCACTAGGTGGTTCTTGCGATGAAGTCGAGGTGTAGTCCTGGGGCACAGACGGAGTGCCGCTCACAGTGACACCACCGATATGAACATTCACAGTCGGCTGAGGGTCTCGCCGAAAGATGCAAGAAGCGAAACACAGCACAATGCAAATCACTGCAACTTGAGCGGCAGCACTCAGAGCTGCCGGGTACGCTTCCATGAAAGCAGCAACATATCCGAAGAATTGCATCATGACTGACAAGAAAAGCTCCCAGGCCGTAGGCTCATTGCTTCCATCATCTTGCTCATCATCGCTTCCACCAAGAGACCTGGCTGTCTGCAATGCAACCAGGAACGCCTGAAAGACACGGATCATGTCACCATCGGCACCTGACACAACTGTGCGGACCTGTCGGTGAACCTGCTGCACACGTATTGTCCTGGCTTGGGCAGCGGCTTCCTCTCGACCCACCAAGTCATAACCACTCTCGGCATCTCTGATGTTCAAAAGGCTTTGAAGGAAGCGGGTTCTCGAAGGATTCAGGGATTTAGTCATCAAGTCGCTTATGTTGGTGGAGGTAGGAACAGGAGACACAACAATCTCACCAAGCTGAACCCTTTGCTGAATCCAAAGAAGACGGGCATGAATGTGTCTCACCTTTCCAACCCCTTGTCTCAACATCATTGCACGAGCGGCTTGGTTGTCCACGAGAACTCTCAAGGGTGCGACCTCGCCTTGATACAAGAACTCAACGACTGCTCTGATGAGCAATCCGTCAATGGCACAGCTGATTGCGGCATGATACTCTGATTCAGCACTAGAGAGCGCAATCAAGCGCTGTGTACGGCTTGCAGAGTAAACCAGCTGGCTGTTCACCAAGAACGCGGATCCCGATACGCTCTTCCGGGTTTTCTTGCATCCTGCCCAATCAGCATCGCTAAAGGCCTCGACGAGGTGCTGAGCTTCATGCTTGCCTTCGTTGCGCACTATTAACCCTTGGCCAACCGCACTGCTGGAGACGCATTGGCATTGACTTTGGTGCTGGTGCAGGTAGCCGGTTAAATGGCGAAGGAGAGACCATGAGCCCCTCGTTGGTTTCGACATGTATGAAGCCAAATACCGTATGGCAAATTGTGCCTCAGGGATGTCCGCCTGGAGGTAGAGGAGAATGCCGACGCATGTCCTAAACTTACTCCCCTGGTCGGAATCTAGGAGGGGGTCATCCTCCTGCTCTGTGGGCAAATTGCCCGTGGGCATCGGCGACTGTCGGCTTCGACCCTTGGAAAGGGCAAGCCCGGTAATCTCGAGCAACCGGTCGAGGTGCTTGCCATGGACCTCGATGGAGAGCTCGCCGTCTGAGATAAGGACGTGGCGCTTCTTCAGGAAGTTGAGCTCGTCGCCTGGGCTTCTTATCCATTGCACTGAGATCTTGTATTTCCTCGACAGCTGAGAGCAACAGCCCTCCAGTATCGAAGTGACCCCAGCGGCCAGTAGGTCGTCGACGTGGAGGAGGCCTGCTCCTTGCTTTTCTGGAAACCGCAGGATGGATGTCATCTGTGGCATTTGCTCTGTGTTGCAATGCTCATGCAAATACGAGCTGAACTCGCCGAACCAACGGCTGCTTCCGTCCCTTTGGCCTGGCAGGCACTTGTCAAGGCGAAACCACAACGTGGCATCCCCAAGCTTAACCGAAGTGATCGTCGGCTCGCCTTGGCTGCATGTCAAGTAGGCATCAGCAATGTCGACTGCCATCATCGACCAGCCCAACGATCTCTGCTGGATGAACAGGTGAGGAATCAGCCGGGTGACAATGGCAGAGCTGGCCGGACTGAAAAGCCCTTCACGATGTGGCTCGAGGAAGGCGAACTCGCGCGCAACTAGGCGCGCCCTACGGAGCCACACCTCTTTGTTGTCGATCCGCTTCTGCCTCCATGTCAACACGAACTTGGTGCTCAAGGTGCGGTGGCCAGGAAGTGGGCCTCCGACTTCGACGAGGACTC